ACGGGATCCTCTTGATTCCCTGAAACCCTAGCAGGCATCTCTGATTCATGACCTGTGATAGCTGACTGTAGGCACTAGTGGTGCAAAAACATAGGCAGAACTCCCCAGGAGACCAAAAGACTAGGGGAATTACGTCTCCAAATTCCCAGGCCACATGAGAGGTGTATACTGGGCCCCAGACAGCTTCTGAGGTAGATTTCCTTGCCTTAGGCAGCAGTGGAAGCAGAGTCAACCTTACCTTGGCCCCTTTGATGCTCTGTCTGAAGACAGTTGCTGTAATTGGGAAATAATTAGCAACCGCTATGTTTGTAGACAAGCAGCCTGTGTGTTCCAGGGCACCTTTTCTTTCATCCTGGATATTTGGGAGTTTGGGTCTGGCTCCAGGGGCTTGCCCATTCAGAGATTTGCTTGATTCTAAGAGGATTCTGGCTTCCTGTGGTTCCCAGGCAGGCATGCCTGCCATGACCCTTGTGGGAGGAGAGGGGGTAGGGCTGCTTCTCTTTGTGCCACGGAGGGGAGAACCAAGTGCCTGGGAGTTGACGGAAGGTAAGTGTGAGACCAGGAATGCAACATGGGGAACTTGAGAGGGAGTGGTGGAGGGAGACAAAGTCTTCCTGTCACATACTGGCCTGTCACCAAGTTCTTTGTGCATCTGTAACTCCTGCCTCCTCCCTCCCCACCTTTTGCCTCCTCCTCCACAGCCTCAGCCTTGGCATGTAGGCTGGACAGAGTTTCCACTCTTGTCCCTCTCCCTTTGGTGGGGAACCTCTCTGATCTGCTTTGCAAGCTTCCAGTGTAGCCTCCCAGGCCCTCCCTTCCCTTTGCAGCTCAAACCAGTCCAGCCAGTTTGCAAGGGCCCAGTTCTTCATTGTGTTTTTTCACCCCCACTGGACAAGCAGCTCTAGCTTGGCTCTCAGGTTTCTTCTTTTTAGTGGACCTAGTCTGGAGTCCGATTGGGGATGGTGGGGGGGGGGGATGTTTGGGCCTACAAGGAGCCTTCTTATCAAATGAAAGGTGGCTGCGTTTTCCTTTTTTATTTTGACCATTTATTTGCTTGTTTATCCCCACTGAGGTGGTTCTAATCAGTGTACTTTTAGTTCTCCCACTTTCCAAACGCTCCAGTTATTCAGCATATTGCCTGGCCCTGTGTGCGCCCGAAACCACCCCACCCCCACTTCCTGCCAGAAGTCCAGGGACCCTGTCACTCCTAGTTGGAAGCCAGATGCTATGGCTGGGCCAGAGGTGATGGAATTGGGGCAGGGCAGGCTAATGAGTAACTCAGGGAGAAGTGACTGTCTGGTACAGGTGTACTGTGCCTTCTCCCTCCCTGTGTTCAGGCAGGAATGGCAGAGGCAGGCAGATGGCACTGAATTAACTTCTGTCCTGGCCTTTTCCCAGAGTACAGTTGGTGAGAAATGCCCTGGGCATGTGCCAGGGGAGGGAAAAGAGGTTCAGGCATCTGGTGAGAGCACAGGCCCCGGACTTCATGTTGTTGGTCCAGATCTTTGTTTACCTGCCTAGGGCTTATGCAAGGCCTTGGAGCTGCCCTGCTCTCTTGGCCCCACCCCGCTGTCCTCTGTAACTGAAGGCGGGTAGGTTTCGGGTTTTCCGTGTTGAATCATTTAGAGCTCTATTTTCTGACCCACCCTAAAGATCACTCAGTCCTGGCCCCTGACCCATGTGTCCTGGAACTGATAGCGATTGAGGGTGGGGGTGTCTTTGTAGGGGAACACTGGGTAGCACCCCTGTGTTGTCTGGCACTCTGGGCTAAGGGGTTGGTCACTTTGCTGTGCCTACTTGGGAGCTCCTTGACCTGATCTGGAAGATCTGCAGATATACTGACAGGGCAGATCGTCATCATGAATAACTCATGTGACTTCTGAGAGCTGGCAGTTTAGGGACACCTGATTGTAAGATCAGGACTGTGGGGCAGAGAGTCCAGACCAGGAAGGCGGCCATTACTAATGCACAAAGAATGCTATGAGACCTTCATGGGCATATCTTTCTGTTGCTGGGAGAGTCTGCCTTGGTTCAGGATACAGCCTTGAGAGATTTATTCATTTACATTCTCCATGCTGCTGAGAGTCTTGGTCTTTGCCCTGGAGGAGCTTATTGTCTAGTGGAAGAGACAGGAACTAATCTCTTCAGTGAATGTACAGAGGTAAACTGAGGTAAACCTACTGGGAGTATATGTAAATGATGGAAGCTCTGCAAGAAGCTATCTGCTTTTCCCAGTGAGACCAGCACAATTTTGCATCTTCTGTTTCTTTTTTCCTTTTAGTTATCTGCCAGAGCTTGGGCATACTTTTCCATACACACTGGGCTTTCTCTTTTCCTCTGAAGCCCCTTCTGCCATGCAGCTGCTTGTCTGCCATGTGTTTGGATGCTGCCCTCTGTTACTAAAGCTGCCTTCTTTCTTAAAGGCATGGCTTTCTCTTTTCCCACTTCTGCCAACATATTTCCATTTCCCTCCTCCTGGCAACTGCTGAGATTGACAGTTTGTCTGCCATGTTGTTTTCCCCCTCAAACTCTAATAAAATTGTTTTAAAGCTTCCTTCTGAGTCCATTTATAAATTCTTGTATTAATGAAACTGAAGACCCCAGAGAAGGAACCTCAATTTCCTCAGCAACAATCTTCAGCTACTTAGTGAGTTCAGGACCAGCTTGGGCTACTTAGACCTATGGACCAGCCTGGGCTACTTAAACCCTGTCTCAAAAAACAAACAAACAACAACAAAAAACATGTTATAAGATTATTGCATGTGGAGAAAGGAGGCAAGCAGTTTGTTTACTATGTATTTTTAGTGAGGCAAAGTCTCGCTATGCAACTGAAGCTGATCTTGAACTCATGGCAATCCTCCTGCCTCAGCCTCACAAGAGCTGACTCTAGCACAGTGATTCTCAACCTTCTTAACACTGCAGCCCTTTAATATAGTTCCTCATGTTGTAGTGACCCCCCAGCCATAAAAGAAGTTTCATTGCTACTTCGTAACTGTAATTTTGCTACTGTTATGAGTCAGGATATGCATGTAAATATGTAAATGTCTATGTTTTCTGATGGTCTTAGGTGACCCCTGTGAAAGGGTCATTTGACTCCAAAAGGATCTCCACCCACAGGTTGACAGTCACTGCCCTGGTGCCTTTTCTTTTTCTTGAGTAATTTGGAGCGCCTCTCCCTTCTGCCCTCAAAACCTTAAAAATTTCTGTGTTAAAACTTTGTGTGGGCTGTGTCATGGAGGAGGTGCATTGCTTTACAGTCCCAGGACCCCCAAAGTAAATCATTCTCAATAAAGGCTTTCCCTTCCATTCATTTTCTCCAGTTGGGAAGGTCTGGGAATGCTAAGAGTGCCCTCAGTGTCCATTTCTCCCCCACACCCTTCCCCACCTGGATTCTGTCCCTCCTGCGCATCCCCTCCCTTCAGCTGCCCGGGTTTTCTGGCTTCCTAGAGCTTCTACTATCTCCGAGAGGGACTTTGCCAAGTTTACTTGGCCCAGAGCCCCGCAGGGAGGTTGAATTGGATATGATTGCATTTCTGTCTGGCACACCTGAGGTTCCTCCCACCAGCTCATTGCTGGGCTCCAGTAGAGACCAGCAGAAGGCATGAGGAAGCTGCATTGGTTGTCCTTCAATTTGCTTGGAACAAAAATCTCCCTCCCAAGTTCCAGGAGTCAGAGTACACCTGGAACACATTCCATTTACTGACTCTAAGCTTAGGCGATGTGGCCCAGGAAGTTGGCCTGTGAATGGCCCTGGCTCTATCCCACAGCCTGTCTCCTATGGGTTCTTGGATTGGCACACTAAAAACCTATTTAAAGGTTGCTAATGCTCTGTTGGTAGAGTGCTTGCCTAGCATACATGAAGCCCTGAGTTCCAGCCCACACTGCATAAAACCAGGCCCAGTGGCTAGCCTTTGTATGCAAGAAGTGGAGATAGAAGGATCAGAAATCAAGGTCCTCAGCCGGGCCTTGGTGGCTCACTCCTTTAGTCCCAGCACTCGGGAGGCAGAGGCAGGCAGATCTCTGTGAGTTCGAGACCAGTCTGGTCTACAAGAGCTAGTTCCAGGACAGCCTCCAAAGCCATAGAGAAACCCTGTCTCAAAAAGCCAAAAAAAAAAAAAAAAGAAAAAAAGAAAAAAAAAGAAAAAAATCATGTTTAAGTCCCTCCTCCTTTCTTTTCTCTCTTGGTGCTGGGGATTGAATCCAGATCTCACACGTTAGACAAATGCTATACCACCAAGTCACAACCTGGCTAGAAGTCCTTTCTCAAATAGGCAGTACATCTACACAGTATGAAGTTCAGAAGGACAGAAAGCTACACAGTGGGAAGCCCAGAAAGTAAACCTCCTCTGTCTGTCCAGCCCTCAGTACCTTCACTCCAGAGACATGACTGCTGTATCAGTATCAGTTTAAGTGCCCTCCCAGAGATGGATGCCACATTTTGTGATCTATATGTTTTAATAAACTCTGCAATAGGGGGCTTCTTTTTTTAAGGGAGTTGGAGGAATCAGATAGGCAAGGTTGGGCATCCACCTTTACATGGGAGAGACCCTTGGCTGTGTTGTATGTGAAGATCAGTAGACATCCTCAAAGTCTTAATAAGCCACAATCCCCAGGATTACATCACAGGAAATAAATTATTTTGGGTCTGTGGGCCTCAAAGTATATTACCTGTTTTATTTATATTTTTTTCCTTTTATGTTAGAAGGACCTATACATACTAGGCAAGCTGTCTACTAACGAACTACCTTCCTAGCCTTCAAAGTGTGCTATCTGGACTGGGAGTATCAGCATCACCCGAGAGAAGTTGCTGAGGAATTCAAATTCTCAGGTCCAGCTCCAGGACTAATAAGTCAGAAACTGGGGTAGACTCCCATATACTGCATTTCTATAGAAGAAACAGACAAGGTAGTCAACGTCCTTAAAGCTGGGTGTCTACTTCAGGCTCCTCAGCTAAAAACTGTTTTCTTTATCTTCTAGGACCCCTTCTCCTACATGTGGAGCAGGCACACATGATGGCTGATCCTCGGGGTCCTGTAGACCATGGAGTCCAAATTCGCTTTATCACAGAGCCGGAGGGTGCTACTGAGATGGGTACCCTTCGTCGCGGTGGGAGACGCCCTCCTAAGGATGCAAGAGCCAGTACCTATGGGGTCGCTGTGCGTGTGCAGGGCATTGCTGGACAGCCTTTTGTGGTGCTTAACAGTGGAGAGAAGGGGAGTGACTCCTTTGGGGTCCAAATCAAGGGGGGCAACAACCGGGGGTCCCCAGGAACACCGAGCTCTGATCCAGAGATCCCTGAGAACCCCTACTCTCAATTCAAGGGGGTTCCTGCCGCTTCTCAGGGCAGCACATCTGATGAGGAGCTCAAGGACCACTGGAATGGAAGACTGCTCCGATCCCAGTCGCAAGCCTCTCTGACAGGGCTTGCTTCTGTGAGTCCTACCAATAGGAGCACCAGCTTGTTGGAGCTAGCCCCTGAAAAGACTCCCCCGGTTAACACCATTGACACTGCCCCCTTGTCTTCAGTGGACTCACTCATCAACAAGTTTGATAGTCAAATCGGGGGCCAGGGCCGGGGCCGGATTGGCCGCCGCACGCGGACGCTTCCTCATGAACAGCGCAAGCGGAGCCAGAGTCTGGACAGCCGGCTGTCACGGGATACCCACGATCGGGATCGGGAACACCAGTCCCCCAACCACTGGACCCCTGGCACAAAGTATGACAACCAAGTGAACAGTTCAAAGCAGCCATCCAAGAGCCAGAGCCCTCTCAGCAGCTTTAGCCGTTCCCGGCAGACTCAAGACTGGGTCCTACAGAGCTTTGAGGAACCACGGGAGAAAATACCGGATCCCACCACGGTGCAGGTCAGAAGTCATCCCTCCCCACTGCCAACCCTCAGCTTTGCATCAGCCCACGGAATCCTTTGTTAATTCAGGGCAGATAGTCTCTGCCTTTTGTTCTCCATCTTATCCACTTAGGTGACATACATTCATGGGTAAACTTCTAAGGAAAATGGAAATGAGCATGGAGAAATTAGTCATTCTTCAGTCATCGGCAAAGGTTAATTCTTTAGGTCCAGCACCTTTTGTAATGCAGGCTTGGAGGGTATGGAAGCTCCCCTAATAGTTCAAGTCCACGCTTTCTCCTGGTGGGGAGACAAACTTAAGTGCGTTCTGGAACTCTGTGTGCATTTATAAATTCCAGCACATCTGTTGGTGTTAGTGACATAGCTCCCAGCTGGTTATTGAGAAAAGTGATTTGCATTGATAGCACACAGTGTGTCCTGAGCAGCATTGTTAGTTATGCTGAGTTAGGCTTCGCCTCTCCGCTGTCACCTGTGTTCCATTTGAACCACATATGTACTCTGGCGTCTTCTCTCCTTCCTTTTTTCCCCTTCGTTTCTCCTACAGTTCAAATCAACTCCAGACCTTCTCCGAGACCAGCGGGAGGCAGCACCGCCAGGCAGCGCGGACCATGTGAAGGCCACCATCTATGGCATCCTAAGGGAGGGGTGAGTGGGGTCCCCCCGGTAGTGGGACATACACTTCCTTTCTTGTCCCTCTGCCTTCCCTTCCCATCTCTTTCCTCATCTTCCCTCCCCTCTGTTCACTGTTGCTTCTGTCCTTCTGTCCTCCAGAAGCTCAGAAAGTGAAGCAGCTGTAAGGAGGAAAGTTAGTTTGGTGTTGGAGCAGATGCAGCCTGTGGGGGTGAGTGACCTTCCTGGGGTCAAGACTTGGGCCAGGAGGCCTCTAGGGGTTTGGACTCACTTCCCGCCCCCTTGTCTCCTATACCTCTGGCAGATGGTTTCTCCTGCTTCTACTAAGGCCCTGGCAGGGCAGGGTGAGCTTACCCGAAAAGTGGAGGAGCTCCAGAAAAAGCTGGATGAGGAGGTGAAGGTAAGGCAGGCTAGAGGTGTGGGAGAGGTGAAGGGCCACAGGGAAGATGAATGTCCTGGGGACGAGCTAGACTGGCTCTTTTGTATGTGTGTATGTGTGTGTATGTGTGTGGGGGTGTCTTGCTGAGTAACCCTGGCTGTCTTTGTAGTCACAGAGATCTTCTTCGATTTGTGGACTCAGAGGCATGAGCCACCATGCCCATCTGGCCTGGGTCTCCTGAGTCGGTGCTGTCTCTATGTGTGAGACAGGAAGTCAGTGTCCCAGCAAGGCCTTTGAGTTTCTCTGGGACTTAATGGGTGGAACACATTAGAGGTCTAATTACTTCCTTTTCGTTTTCCCTAGGAGTCCTTGTCCAGGGTCTGCTATTGACTGCTTGTAAAAAGCTTAGAAACTTTCCTTTGTTCTCTGTCCAGGGGTGTAGCTGAGTTGATAGAATACTCACTCTGCATGCATAAAATGTCCCAGGTTCAATCCCTAGTGTGACTACAACCAACTGTGGTACTTGCTTATAAGCCCAGCACTCAGGGAGTAAAGGCAGGAGGATCAAAAATTCAAGGTCCTCTCTGGCTATTTATCACATTTGAAGACAGACTGGGTCACATGAAACCATGTCTCAAAAAAAAAAAGAAAGAAAGAAAATTACTTACATTCTAAGTGTCTTGAGTCTTTTTCTCATCATCATTATGATGGTAATGATAATAATGTCATTTTTTGAGTATAATTTTTATGGCAGATGCTGCCCTGGGTAATACATAATCATTACAGTGGCTGTGCAAGTATGCTATGGATCTTTTCTGATGAGAGACCCTGAACATCAGAGATGTTAAGGGAATTGCTTGTGGTAGTAAGCTGTAGAGAAAGGATGAAACAGTGCATCCACTCTTCCTCTAAAACTTATGGACACTTTTTTATTTTTTCTTTTCTTTTTGGGGTTGGAAGGGCAGAGTCTCAAAAAGACTGGCCCTGAGCCGGGCGTTGGTGGCACATGCCTTTAGTCCCAACACTCGGGAGTCAGAGGCAGGCAGATCTCTGTGAGTTCAAGACCAGCCTGGTTTACAAGAGCTAGTTCCAGGACAGCCTCCAAAGCCACAGAGAAACCCTGTCCAAAAAAAAAAAAAAAAAAAAAAAAAAGAAGATCTAGGCTTGAAGAACACTGAGCTGAACTCACTATGTTAGCCAAGAATGACCCTGAACTTTGAATCCTCTTGCCCTGCCTCCTACATTTGGGATTACAGACGTCCATCACCATGCCCAGTTTGTGCCTAGCTGGGAATGAAGCCCATGGCTTTGAATCTGCTAGGCAGGTACTCTACTGTCTAGCTACTCCCACAGCCCCAGACCCTTTATAAATGCTTCTTCCTCCTTTCACAAAGTTGCTGTGCACATAGTTGGAGTTCAGCTCCTGTTGATTTGCAATCCCCTTGTTAAGGAGAAATCAGTGCAGGTTAATAGTTATGTGGAATCAAACTTAATGGGTTCCAACCTTGATTCCAGTAATTGCTGGCTATGTAACTGATCTTAGTTAAGTTCTTTAAGTATTCAAATCCTGTTTCCTTAACACTAAGTGAAGATAATAATATACTATTTATTTATTTGTTACAAAACAGATTACTACAAAACTTAACAGCCTAAAACAAGCCTTTCTTGGTGTCTGAGGACTGAGAATAGGGATCATCTTCGCTGAGTAATTCTGACTCATGGCTGCTATTACTAGAACACTTAGGAGACTTAAGTAGGTTTTGTTTTTTTGTTTTTGTTTTTGTTTTTGTTTTTTTTTTGACATAAGATTTCACTTTGTAGCCCAAACTGCCTGGAATTCACTGTGTAGTTCAGGCTAGCCTTGAACTCATGTTGATCCTCCTGCTTCTGCCTCCCAAGTGTCAGGATTACAGGCATGTGCTTCCATTTGGAGTTATTCTGGATCTGTCTACAAGCTTTTTGTGATCCCCATTTCTTTTCTAGAAGCGGCAGAAGCTAGAGCCATCCAGGATTGGGCTAGAGAGGCAGCTGGAGGAAAAGGCAGAAGAGTGTAGCCGGCTGCAGGAGCTGCTGGAGAAGAGAAAGGCGGAGGTCCAGCAGAGCACCAAGGAGTGAGTGCAGCTGATGGAGCACACGGGTCACATGGGCCGGCTTCAGGGGCCTGAGCTGGACCTAGAGGTCACTCCTCCCAGGCTTGAAGGAGGCAGAGGGGAATCTTGAGATGCTGAAGGGGCCGGGACTGTTTTCTTTTCTATGGTAATGGTGATAGTGCATGACCTGAAGATGGGCTACCTATTTGAAGATTTGTAAAATGGCCCTAAAATGTTGGCCACCTTACAGGATTATTGTGAGGATTTGCTCACTGGTTTAGCAGATGTCTTCTGTCTGTGACTGATGTTGTTTATATGACAGGCCCTGATGTGGGCTCCTGAGGTACATCAGTGAGCCATGCAGGTAGGGCCCTCCTCTCCAGAATCTTAGCTCCCAGAGACAGGGAACAGAGAGTAAACAAGTAGTGTGTGTGAGTAAATTACAATACTTGAGAAGGCAGTGAGTACTGCAGTCTAGCTCATCAAGGAGCAGGTCGCAGTTCTAACTGAAGTAGTTGTGTATAAATGTTCATTTAAGTTTCGAACAGGGGATCCAAAGCTACACAGAGAAACCCCTGTCTCAACGCCCCCCCCCCCCCAAAAAAAAAAAAAAGATTTGAACAGGGGAGCCAGGCAGTGGTGGCATACACCTTTAATCCCTTGGGGAGAAGGTGGATCTCTGTGAGTTCGAGGCCAGCCTAGTCTACAGAGTGAGTTCCAGGACAGCCAGAGCTGCACAGAGAAACCCTCTCTTAAAAAACAAAACAAAAAAGAAAGAAAGAAAAGAGGTTTGAGCAGAGGCCTAGAGATGGCTCAGCTTGGTAAAGGCGCTTACCACAGAATCTGAGGACCTGGGACACATAAGTTGGAAAGAGAGAAATGACTCCTGCAAGTTGTTCTCTGACTGCCACACAAATGTCTCCCTCATACATATACATACAGTAAACAAACAAACAAAATGTAATAAAAGGGAAGAAAAGATTTGTATAGGAGTGGGGTGTAGTTTATTGGTGAAATGTTTGCCTAATTTGGCAAGGCCCTTCTATTCCTAGTACAGCAAAACAAAATATGCAAGAAATAGATATTTAAAGGAAGTTTAACCAGGCGTTGGTGGCGCACGCCTTTAATCCCAGCACTCTGGAGGCAGAGACAGGCGGATCTCTGTAGTTCGAGGCCAGCCTGGTCTCCAGAGCGAGTGCCAGTATAGGCTGCAAAGCTACTCTGTCTCGAAAAACCAAAAAAAAAAAAAAAGGAAGTTTAAATGAATCAATGTATGGCAAGCCTATACTGCCTAACATAGTATCCAGTGATGCTATCTATTGTTAGGCTTCAGAACATGAAGCTCCTCCTGTGCCAGGAAGAAGGGTTACGGCATGGGCTGGAGACCCAGGTGAAGGAGCTACAGATCAAGCTGAAACAGGGCCAGAGTCCTGAGCCTGCAAAGGACATTCTCATGAAGGTAGGAAAACGGGTGTGTGTATTCTAGCCTGGGTTCCCTGCAGCATCCCCAGGTCTGCTCATCCACAGTTTCCTTGAAGTATGGAAAGCAGGCAGCTTTTCACCAGTGCTCTTCAGTGTGCTTCCAGGCAGACTCTCCCCGGATGGTAGTCTTTTTTATACTACAGACAGTTTAGAGGGCAAAAAGCACCCAATACTATACTAGTATCAAGTATAAGTACGTTTTCTTTTTGGATGTGGGACTTCACTAAGATGTCCATTCTGACCTCTCAATTTGTGATTCTTCTGCCTTAGCCTTCTAGTTACTGGAGTTAGAAGCATATGCCACCCTGCCAAGCTCTCAATAAGTATTTTTGGCTAAATGGGTGAGTTTTTTAATAGACAGAATGAGTCCTAATATGGTCACTCCCGAGCTTCCATCTTCCGTTTCTCCAGGATTTGTTAGAAACCCGGGAACTTCTGGAAGGGGTCTTAGAGGGAAAGCAGCGAGTAGAGGAGCAGCTGAGGCTGAGGGAACGGGAGCTGACAGCCCTGAAGGGGGCCCTGAAAGAGGAGGTGGCCTCCCATGACCAGGAAGTGGAACATGTCCGGTTGCAATACCAGAGAGACACGGAGCAGCTTCGCCGGAGCATGCAAGATGTGACTCAGGCATGTGAGAAGAACTAGGGCTGGGAAAGGACGACACTGCCAGGGAATGGGGCTGCCTTATCAATGTGTTTTGGACTTCTCATAGTTGCAATTAGGAATCTTCCCTCAAAGACACATGTGAGATGTAGTGAGACCCTTGGTTAGGAAACCTACCAGAGCAGAGAGAGGGGTTACAGGCTAGAAGTAACTGTAAGGATGTATGGTCAGACTCCATGGGGAAATAATGGAGGGAGCTTCCTGCCGGTCACAGAGAGGCGGACTGTAGCTTCCTAGTGTCATCCTTCCAGGGTGTTGCTGTATGATGCTCTCTGGGCCTCAGCTTCTTCTTCTTCCTTAAAGTGAACTTTGCCCTCTGGACCTCCTGGTACCCATTTTCCTCCTTCCTTAGGACCATGCTGCCATGGAAGCAGAGAGGCAGAAGATGTCTTCCCTGGTACGGGAGCTGCAAAAGGAGCTAGAGGAGACCTCAGAAGAGACAGGGCATTGGCAGAACATGTTCCAGAAAAACAAGGAGGAGCTGAGAGCCACCAAGCAGGAGTAAGACCCCCCTGCGTTTTGCAGGGGCATTTAACCAGACTCTTGTACCCCACTGCCTTTCTCACAAGCTCTTTCTGAAGCTGCTGTTCTTCAGATCCACTCCTCAAGAGTGAGTGTCTGTGGCAGTGGCCTCCAGAGGGCTGTTTCCTTTGTCCTTTGAATCTTCCGTATATGGGAAGTCTGACCTTGATCTTTTATCCTTTGCTTATAACCTTACTGGGCTCAGACTTCTGCAGCTGCGAATGGAGAAGGAGGAGATGGAAGAGGAACTTGGGGAGAAGATGGAGATTTTACAGAGGGACTTAGAACAAGCTCGAGCCAGTGCAAGAGATGTTCACCAGTTTGAGGAGCTCAAAAAGGTACTTGGCACCTGGGGCACAGGTCAGGGTGACTCCTGACTCACTGATGCACCTCTGCCTGGGCTAGTGGGACTGTCTCCAGGAGCATGGTTTTCAGTTTTGACTTTCCAGCTCTGCAGGATGATCTCCTTGTTGGTTATAGGTGGAAGCTGCTACCTAACCTGCTTGAAGACATCATTAATAGCTAAATACATGTGGATTTGTAAAACTCCGGGGTCATTTTTGCAGGCTCAGAACCTTGATTTCTTTCAGAGAGAAGCTCATTAACTACGTGATGAAGCAAATGTTTTGTAAGAATGCCTGTGTATTAATTTACATTGAGAAATATAATCCCTGGACTGGAGTGCTGGTATCAGCTTGGCTGGCTGACCTACTTTTGGAACCAAATTGTAATCTGAAGGCTGTTTGGACATGGTGTTTGATGTGCATCTCCCCAGTGTCCCAAGCCACAGTCTGTGGCAGGATGATAACACAACACTCCAAGATTCCCTCTTTGATTTTTTTTTTTTTAAAGTCAATCCTTTTTTCATCATGCATGGATGATGTTTATTTATTTATTTGTTTATTTATTTATTTATTTATTGGTTTTTCTGAGATAGGGTTTCTCTGTGTAGCTTTGGAGCCTATCCTGGCACTCGCTGTGGAGACCAGGCTGGCCTCGAACTCACAGCGATCCGCCTGCCTCTGCCTCCTGAGTGCTGGGATTAAAGGCGTGCGCCACCAACGCCTGGCTGGATGATGTTTATAAAAGAGTCATGAGGAAGTCATAAAAATGAAATAAACAGTTTCATACTCTTGTAGTTTATGAAGGATAAGAATGCAGCTAATAGGCCAGGTGTTGGTATCGCATACCTTTAATCCCAGCACTTGGGATGGGAGGCAGAGACAGGTGGATCTCTTAGTTAGAGGCCAGCCTGATCTACAGAGGGAGTTCTACAGAGGGACAGCCAGGGCTACAAGGAGAAATTCTGTCTTGAAACCTCCCCCCCAAAGAATGTAGTTAATAGGTTGGGTATAGGGAATACACCTTTAATCTTAGCAGTTGGGAGGCAGAGGCAGGTGGATCTCTGTGAGTTCGAGGCCAGCCTGGTCTACATAGTGAGTTTCAGGACAGCCAATAGAGAGACCTTGTCTCACATCTCTCCCCAGAAAAGAACCCCCCCTCTTCAAAACAAAACAAAATAAAAACAACCAAAAAACAGCTAATTATTTTTGGATGACATAAAATTATGTTGTATTGTTGTGAAGTTACAAATACCAAGGAGAGTCTGAAACCTATTGGTATATTGGCTGACATGGCCCACTTGACAGTCCTCCAGATGATCTCTATTACTATTATTATTATTATTATTATTATTATTATTATTATTATTATTATTATTATTATTATTATTATTATTATTATTATTATTATTATTATTATTATTATTATTATTTCCAGACAGGGTTTCTCTGTATTGCTTTGGAGGTTGTCCTGGAACTCGTTCTGTAGATCAGGCTGGTCTCGAACTCACAGAGATCTGCTTACCTCTGCCTCCCGAGTGCTGGGATTAAAGTTGTGCACCACCACAGCATGGCTATAGGAGGTGTATTTTATCAAGCATTTAAACAAAATATAGAGTAGGGAAGCAGACTAACCAAATCCAACACAGACCAGCCAGCCAGCTCTGTTTCCTTTTTCTTGTAGTGAGTGTGTAGTGTCTGCATTGTAGTCACTGCAAGCTCTGTGGCCCTCCAGTTTTATTAGCTTTTCTAAATTTCCAAAGTGTCTAATAACTAGAGAGGACCATAATTAATATTTTAAATGCCCTTAAAAATATAAGATGCCCCCTTTAATCCCAGCACTCGGGAGGCAGAGGCAGGTGGATCTCTGTGAGTTGAGACCAGCCTGGTCTACAGAGCAAGTTCCAGGGCAGCCTCCAAAGCCACAGGAAACCCTGTCTCGGGGAAAAAAAAAAATTAAGATGCATTAGTATTTATTGTTTTGCATTTTGGTGCTTTTTTTTTAGACTGCCAGTCTTGTTTTAGTCATGTGTTCATCTATTCTTCCTCCACATGGTTACTGTTAGTGTTATATTTTATGTACTATAAAATTCCTCTATTTCCAGTTTTTTGAGATCAGGTCATACTATGTAGACTAGTCTGGCCTTGAACTCGCAGAGATCTGCCTGCCTCTGCTTTCCTCCTGCTGGGATAAATACACCACTACCCTTGGCACAAATACCCTCCTTTTAAAATAGTTCAGTGGTTTTTACTATATTCATTGTATTGTGAAGCCATCACGATTATCTAGTTACAGAATATTTTAATCTTCCCGAAAAGCCCTCGTGCTCCTTAGTGGCCATTCTCGCCATGCCCTGACCATTTTTTCACTCCAGATTTGTGTAACCTGACATTTCATGTCATTCTATCCTATAATATGTGGGTTTTAATTTCTGGCTTTTTTCATCTGAAGTAATTTTTTCAAGACTCAGCTGTGCCTTTATCTCTTTCTTTGTTTATGTGTGTTAGGTTTTAGCGGTAGGGTCTTACATAGTCCGGGCTTGCCTGGAACTTACTATGTAGCGGAGGAGGCCTTGAACTCCTGACCCTCCTGCTTCTGCCTTCTGTGTGTTGGAATACAGGTGTATACCACCACACCTGGCTTCATCTAGTTTTATAGATGTGTAATGTCCTATTCTTGATTAGTGTACTTTGTTGTTTTTTTAATTATTTATTTTATGTGCATTGGTGTTTTGCCTGCATGTATGTTTGTGTGAGAGTGTCAGATCTTGGACTTACAGACAGTTGTTAGCTGCCATGTGTTTGCTGGGAATTGAACATGAGTCCTGGAAAGACAGCCAGTGCTCTTAACCGCTGAGCTATCTCTTCAGGCCTGATTAGTGTATTTTGTTCATTTTCCAAATTTAGGACATGTGGATTGCTTCTGTGTTTGACGTACAGTGGCTGATCTTGCTATATGCATTTCTGAACAAGTTTTTGTAAGAACTGTCAGTTTTCATGGGCATATCGCCAAGAATAGGGTTGCTTTGTCCTGCGGTTAGTTTATGTTAGGCTTTTTGTGAATCTGCCCAATTGCTATCTAAAGTGGCCTTATCATTTGTATTCCTTTCCATGATGTGTGAGAATCTTCTTTTCTCCACATACCAGAACCTCCTTATAGCTGTCCCTACTGTTTTCTTTCCCTTCTAGGAGCTAAGACGCACCCAGGGGGAGCTTAAAGAGCTTCAGGAAGAGCGACAGACCCAGGAGGTGGCTGGGCGACAGCGGGACCAGGAGTTAGAGAAGCAGCTGGCCACGCTGAGGGCTGAGGCTGATCGAGGCCGAGACCTGGAACAGCAGAACCTTCAGCTACAAAAGACCCTGCAGAAACTGCGGCAGGACTGTGATGAGGCTTCCAAGGCAAGGGGAGTGGGCCCAGGGCTCAGGAGGTGGAGGCTGAGGGGTCAGGAGGGCTGAGAAGCCAGAGAGCCTGCAAAGTTACTATGATGGGTATGTACTGAGCCATTCTGGAGGCTCGTGTGTGGCGAATATCAGATTTGGCAGAGTGGGGCTGCATCTATGTAGGGATAGGACTGTCGGGGAAGTCCTTGGCTAGGGCCACCCCTCCATGCCTGGCTCCTGTGAGCTTTTGGTGAGTTCCTAGGTGGCCGTTTTCCTGGATATGCATGTTTACCCATCTGAGCCCCCATGGTCTGAGCCGATTCTCCCAACTGTCCGCAGGCTAAGCGGGCATCAGAGGCAGAGGCCAAGTTGCAGGGGCACCGTCGGACAACAGTGGAAACCACACTACGGGAGACCCAGGAGGAAAACGATGACTTCCGAAGGCGCATCCTGGGTCTGGAGCAGCAGTTGAAGGAGGCCCGAGGCCTGGCGGAGGGAGGGGAAGCGGTGGAGGCAAGACTTCGCGACAAAGTGCATCGCTTGGAGGTTAGCGCTCCTGTCTGCCTCCTCGTCTCCCTGTTCTTCTACCCTCAAGCCTTCCTTCCACCTTAAACTCCCATTCTCAGTACTCCGCCATTGGTTTTAGTGTGTCAGCACATACTGCCCCCCA